TATTCTTGAAATGAGGACTAATATTATTGCTTATATTATAGTATTAAATTGACATCTATACAAAAACAAGACTTTGCTACACATTAAACAAAAGGAAATGAAGTAAGTCAGAAACATATTAATGTATGACTTTTAAAATGACTTACATGATGGTTGATCCTCTACGTTGTCTGTGCCTTTTCACAAAATACAAAGCGCTCTGTCTCTCTTTGGTCCGATGCTTGTTCCTTATAAAGACTTCAGTCACACGGCACTATTGTCAAACATTCCAGCATTCATCCGTCATTCAAACTGACTTTATTTATGAAAGAGACAGTAATTGGGGTTGCTATCTGTCAGTCAGGTTTGTTAACCTGAAGGAAATCCATATCTGAGAAAACTAAACTGAAAGTAAGATCAGAGCTTGAACTTTTTGAAAAACAAAACAAAGATTAGCATGAAGTACACTTTGCATAGATACAAATTCAACTCATAAACACTGACTTCTATGAGATATTGAAGATCTTAGTGATTGGATGTATTGTATACCGAAGTGGAAATGAAAGGACAGTCATTTCAAGGTGTGACTCAGCAGTGAAAGTATTTGACTATAGTCCTAAAATGTTTCCGCCCTGTCTAAGATTTTAACACTTGGTTCCCTGACATGAAAACAAAGACTCAGATACGTCTTCAGATGCCTTAGACCAGGGCTATTCAATTAGTTTGGAATGGGGCCGGTTGATGAAAATGATCCAAAGCAAGGGGCCGGGAAAAAAATGGCTTGAAATATGAGCAATCATATTAAGAGCTTCAGATACAGTAAATACTACAGCAGGTCACCCTTGAAAAAGAGATCAATGATCTCAATGAGATTCACCTGCATAAATAAAGGTTTGAAATGAAATGACTACAACAGCATAGTGGAGTGCATATATTTTGTTTAATTAAATCAAACATAGCCCCAAGGCCTTTATAAATGGCAAGTTCAGAACTCAGTACATGTGAAGCTAATATAACCATCAACATCATTAGATTTAGATTAAATTATCTAATAATTCACACAAAATAGCAATTTAGGGCCAGACACAAACAACAGTGCATATTATGGTATAATAACAACAAAGACAAGTGAGCCATACCACATCAATTGCTTAATTAAAAGCAAAAACAATTATCAAAAGACTTGTATTAATTACCAAACCACAACACACAGCCTTTTAAAACTCAAACCTTTTTTGATTAACATAGTGATAACTGACATACAGTATGCAACCAACTTGGCAGATATGTGCCATCTAATGAGAGAAATTGCATTTTTTCGATTTAGCAAGAGCAGGGAAGTCGGGAGTATACGTTGTCATTAGGGCTGTAGCGATACACTAATCTCACGATACGATATTCAGCTCACAATACGATATATATCACGATATTCAGCCAACGATACGATTCGATACGATTCGATATAATTCGATACACTTATATCATTTTCTGAAAGATTTTAAAGGGACAGTGTGATTTTGGTGACATCTTGAGTGTTCCATTGACTTGGATTGAATTAATTCAACTGAAAACTGAAAGCATCAATTATACAATATGGCTCTGACAGAGAGTCTACAGCTTGCAAATGCTGGACAAAATGAATCAAAAGACGTGGTGAGAAAATTAGTTTCATTTATTGAAACAGTGCAAACTGTAGCTTACAAGCCTTTGAAACGTAAGTACATAAAGTGCAGTATCACAATGGAGAATTAAAAGGTGCAGCAGGTGGCGGAACACGGGGATTTGAATGGGACTTGTTAGAAATTAAAATCAATGTTTTGATGGCATAAAGTACCTTAAACATACCGTCAGTTTAAATGCTGTTTTATACTGAAAAATCAGAAGTTCTTGTGCACAACCAGTTGTTAAGCTTTTATTCTGAAAATCCTTCATCTCCGGTTAGCATTTAGCATGTGGCTAATATACCATTTACTATAGAGGTGAATTTAGTAGCGATATGACACGGAGTGTTGCACACCGAAACCTACAGATTTCAACACTACAACTATAGACGTCGAGATATTATTATTGCTGAATATTAAATGAAGGTACAGTTTATTTGAATACGTTTGTTTACAGACGTGGGTAGCATGACACAACATCCGGGACTACCGGAAATGATACCAGCCGTGAGGTATTTTTGGAGTATTGATTACAGCGTTTAAAATGTATTAAATGAAAAGTCATGAAAGAGATAAGGAGGAGAAAAGGCGTGTTTAGTTATATATTTAATGTACAATGTCTGAATCCTCTGTAATGCGCAACAACGAACATTGGAGACGTGGAGGGCCGCCCCCCAGCAGCGGAACACAGCTGTTTTTCTGACTGACCCATCTTCTGCTTGTAACATTACCGCGCTTTTTATTAATTAAAGTATACATTTGAACCTTCTCAAAGACTCAATTAGTCTCCTTTTTAAAGCTTCTCTCCTGGATGCGAGAATAACGAACACAGTTATCAGACTTAATGTATCGATACCCGCGGCTGAAATATCGATACTTTCTCGGAAAACTAAATATCGATATATATCGCAGGATCGATTAAATTGCACAGCCCTAGTTGTCATGGCAATACGCATACAGTGATGCAGATGCTGGTCAGTGAGGGATGCTCGATTATTAGTTTGTATGGCATTAATGTGTGAGAATGCCGATTCCCACGTGTAAGTCGAGCCAAACATTGTGAGGACAAAAAGTGCAAGATCCCTTGAATGAGGGAATTTCTCGTGGCTGACTTCATGAGTCCAGAACTTTTCAGAACCTGCCAGCTGAAATGACTGTTGCAGGTCATCTGATGACTGAATGTCAATGAGTTCGAGTTGTAAAGACGCCTCATTTAATGTCACAATCAGCTCCTTTGCTTTCAGTGCAAACTCCCCCTCTACATTCACAGAGAAAGGGTCCTTCACAAATCTCATCACTTCAGTCGGGAGACTGAAATGTTCCAACCTCGCGGCAAAGTTGGTTTTCAATGCGTCCATAAATCCAATCATCACCTCGGTGATTTGTAAACCTGCAGTGCGCAGTGTTGGAAAATGGAGCATTTTGCCCGGACATAAATCCGCAAAAAAAAGTGTGAGCTTTTTTTGAAACGCATGGAGTCTCTCCACAAGTTGTGTGACCATTTTATCTCTGCCCTGCAGCTCCAAATTGAGTTGGTTCAGATGTTGGAAAATGTCGCTCAAAAAGCAAACTCATAATTCTCTATCAGACACAGAAAGGCGTTGGCTTTTTTATGTTTTGAATTGCGGAGTTCTCCGATTTTGTGAACTTAAGGAGGAGATCATGGCGTTTCTAAACGCCATGATCTCCTCCTTAAGTTCACAAAATCGTTTCAAGACGTTTCCTTTGCTTAGCCATCTAATGTCACTGTGCATGAGAACATCATTATATTGAGCTGACATGTCTGACAACATCTGGCGGAAAAGGCGGTGCTGTAAACTGGAGTTACAACGAATAAAGTTAATAATCGCCATGACAGAGTCCATTGTGTTTTTTAACTCACCACTCAGTTTTGCGCACAGGAGGCTTTGGTGGATGAGGCAATGAAGCGATCTCAGCTGTGGAGCCACATCTGCCAGCCTAGCGGACAGTCCCTGTGTTCGGCCCGACATCGCAGGGGCCCCATCCGTTACAAGCATGTTAATACGATCCAATCCCAACTTGTGCTCCTTGAAAAACGAAACCACTTTGTGGAACATCACCTCACCGGTCGTGTGTCCATCCAAAGGAATTAATCCAAGTAGATCCTCCCGAAAGCACTCACCATCAAAACATCTAACATAGAGGCACAGCTGTGCAACATCGCTGCTGTCAGTGGATTCATCAATAGCTAGCGACATATCCTCCGCCTTTCTCAGTTTGTCCAAGAGAATCTCAAAAACGTCCGATGCAAGGGTCTCCACTCTCCTTGATGTTGACGTGTCAGAAATCGGAATGTTCTTAATTGAGTCAATAACGCTTTTTCTGATTTTCTCATCTGCAACCACTTCCTCAATTGATGCAAGCATACACTCTTTGACTGTCTCTGCGTCCGTAAAAGGCCTTTTCTTTTTGCCTAATATCCAGGCCACTCGTAGGGACGCTGCGGTAGCTCTCTCTTGGTCAGTGCAAGCCCGAAACAGGGAGCTACGTCTTTGGTCATAGCACGAAGTTAGCCCCAAAATCTTCTGGCGGCGAGCATTAGAGCCCGCTGGAAAAGTGGCGTCAAAGTTGGCGTGAGCTGTCTTAAAATGCCTTCTCAAGTTGTACTCTTTACACACCGATAAACACTCATTGCAGATTAAACACACGGGCCTCCCACTGACATTTACACACAAGTACTTCTCTTTCCACTCGCTGTTGAATTGCCGGTTTTCGGTGTCAACCTTTCGTTTTTTTAACGTAGAAAGAGACATTTTGATATCCAACTATGCTGACCAGGTTTGATTAATCGTACCATTGGCGCGACACCGTCGAAGGTGCGCAAGCTTGTAGTGAAGGGCAGCGCGAGCCGCGAGGACGCAATAAATGACAGGAGTTGCTAGTAGGTGGGTTCGAAACCCGAGCCCGCCAAAGTTTTCAGGCAATGTCTTCCCCTCTATCTCTCAATGTAACACCCTCTCAGGAATAAAGGCACTCTGGTCCCAATTTTTTTTTTAATTAAACTTTTTAATTTTATTTTTTTACTTTTTAACATTATACTCAAAGGGCCAGTAAATATCACCCAGGGGCCGGATTTGGCCCGCGGGCCGCCAATTGAATAGCCCTGCCTTAGACAGAAAGAACATTTCAGATATTTATTTTAATATATTATAACTTGAACTTGTACTACAAAAAACAATCATATATACAGTCGTGGTCAGAAACCTGCAATTGTTTATATTTATATATATTTGGATATACACCTTTCAACAATGTATTTATTATTACATGTTACTTGTTAGACGCTTTTATCCAAAGCGACTTACATACTCAATACCGTGGGCGATCCCCACAGGAGCACTTTGGGGTGAAGTGTCTCAGGGACACAACGACATGCTGACTGCAGTGGGGTTTGAACCTGTGACCCCCTGATCCCAACACCTACGGACAACCCACTACGCCACATGCCATCACCATTTATGATCATGTGAATATTATATTTGACTGCAAGTAGAGATTAATTGCATTTTTATCGAAGGACTTTTGCTTGCAGCTGTGATGCAACACTGTGCTTAACTTCAACGATGGCGTTGCACGTCCCTATTATGCCTGCTTCTCCAGGTAGTCCCTGAGCGTGTTCCTCATCCTTGCAAACTCCAGCACGGTTTTCTCGCACCGCAGAGCTGAATGCGTGATGAAGTCTCTGAGCTTCTCGTCATCATCAGCCGTTGGAGTGATTCTGGTGAGAGTGATAATGAAGTCTAACAGTTTCTTCACTTGCCTCAGTGTGTTGAGAGTCCAGTCCACGACTTTCCTGCTTTTCTCTGACAGTGTAGCCGTTTGCTTCAGAAGCTGCTGAAGTTCTTCCGTTTTCATCAGTCCTATCTTTGCCTGGTTCCTCGTTGGTGTAATTAAGGAGGAGGACTTTTCCTCCAACTCCTCAGACACCGTCTTAATGTCCACCAGGAGACCCTTTAGCAGCTCAATGATTTCCATGAATTCTTTCCCCAAATCTTTAACCCTATCCCTACTGAGGATCTCTGTCGCTGCCTTGGTAGCATTTGCTGCAACAACAGTCCCCGCCCAACAGACTGCTACCATGCCTCCTGCGAGGCATAATGCCAGTTTTACAGGAGCTGGTAAAAAAGCTGCAGCTAAACCCACGGTTACAACTCCAAGTACTTCTAATGCTGCCCCTAGTCTGTATGTGTTCGTTGTGTTCTGCACGCCTTTTGAATTGTTAGATATCCCTACAAGTTCATCGGCAATGGCTTGCATTCTGGGTTTCTTACTTTCATACTGCTCAATAAATAGTCTCCCAGTTTCACAGAGTTTGTTTACTAGACCAGACGAATGGGGTGGAAGCTGTTTGGGCATTTTATAAAAGACTCCAATCCATTATCAATTCAATCTGCTTGGATTGATCTTTTTAAAGCTAATTTATGTTGCCTAGGTGATGGACTTCAGTATTTCTGTCCCCTGGGTGTTTTGTGTTGATTGTCTTTCAGAGCCTTCACAGTACCTGTAATTTGATAGGCTTATTAGTTACACTTTCATTAAGATACAACATCTACCAGAAAACAATTTTTAAAATCATTTTCCACACATCTGGACTCCTTTTTAAATAGAACCAAATTCAACAGAAACCCAAAGGAAAAAACAGAAGTGACATCAATGATTGTGTGTGTGTGTGTGTGTGTGTGTGTGTGTGTGTGTGTGTGTGTGTGTTTAAATGGGGCTACTTACACATGAAGGTTATGTCACATAGTATATTGTCGCTTTAGATGTTCTTGTTTCTGTAACATTGAATCACCGAAAGATAAAATACAGAACATTTCCTTATCCAGTTATTATTCATAATAGGCTTATGCAATATTAAACGTAAAATGTTAATTTAAAATCTCATAATCTATACCAAAACAAATTTAACTTAAGCCAGTTTAATATTTAAGGAAAATGTAATTTAAACATATTTTCAAAGGATCTAATTGGCTGTTCAGGGCATTACTTTTTATTATTACAAACAAAAACAAAATCTCATCTGCATAATGTGAATGATGAGTTATTCTTGAAATGAGGACTAATATTATTGCTTTTATATATTATAGTATTGAATTGACATCTATAAACAAACAAGACTTCGCTACACATTAAACAAAAGGAAATTGAGTAAGTTAGTAGAAAATTGAAACATATTAATGTATTACATTTAAAATGACTTACATGATGGTTGATCCTCTCCGTTGTCTGTGCCTTGTCACAAAGTGGAAAGCACTCTGTGTCTTTGGTCCGATGCTTGTTCCTGTTAAAGAGAACTTCAGTCACATGGCACTGTCGTCAAACATTCCAGCATTCATCCGTCATTCAAACTCTCTTTACATATTAAAGAGAAAGTAAACGGGAGTCATTGGGGTTGCTATCTGTCAGTCAGGTTTGTTTACCTGAAGGAAAGTAAGATCAGAGAAAACTAAACTGCATCGGCACTTTCGGCAGGTTATTCTCATGCTGCTGTTAATCTGGAGATCAACAGACTTTAGCGGCTCGCGCATATGATTATATAATCAGACAACGTCCGTTAAAAAACATTATAACACATAATGAGAGACGTTCTGCAGTCAGGAGGGGCGTTTCACCGACGACAAGTGTTCTTACTTTTATGTAGCTGACGGATAATTTTTACATTACACGACACTGTTCAACACTTCATCCTGCTTCACTCTTTAACTAAACAACCGCGGATGTCTTGAAAGACTCTTTCGCTTAAATTTTTGAAGGTATCATCGTTCTTGTGACACGTAAATACTACGCTTCCTATGTTTTGGTGCGGACTGCGTTCACACCAGCAATGAACCACTCCAGAGTTCGCAAGCAAACGCTCCGAGACCACCTATTTTAGCGGACCAGAGTCCGGTTGTTTAGTTCATTTAAGAGGTCTCGGATTGTGTTCACGCCGACCCAAATGAACCGCACCAAGCGGCTAAACGCACCAGGGTTCGATTCAACCGGACTATTACAAGCCAGGTGTGAACCTACGTGTGTGCGTTCACACCTGGCTTGTATAGTCCGGTTGAAAAGTAACGACATTACTCCCAATATTAATTGAAATGCTTTTGTGGATTTAGAAAATGATTTTATTGATTTAAAAAATAGTTGTATTGATTTAAATTGACATGCATCCGCTAAGAAAAATAGTCCGTTGTTACTGTTTGAACTAACGTAGCAACGGCAGGAACTGCTTCGATAGCGTTTTTGAGGAGCTTTTTGATTACAGATTTGAAAACATCGCTGCTTGCTTTAAAAGTAGCACACTTCATGATGTCAAACCTTGGAAAGTATCTAGATATCCCTGCCCTAATGCCAAAGTAACTGGCAACTGAATATGTGGATCCAAATCAGATGCATGAAACACATTGACTTTTGTAGATCCCAGGATGTATTTGTCATCAGCAGGTATGAATCAAATGTTAGGGTATCAATGACTTCTTGTAAACTAACATTTGTTGTTATGCAAGTCAACAACGAGATGTCACTCCACTGCAAAAGAAGAACAGGAATGATCCAGCTACTGAACCCAGTTGGATTCTTTAGGACTTTTTCTGAGCAACCATTCACCTTCATTGATTCAGTATAAAGGATGGCAACAGCAACAACATACACTAAGGTCAACACAGGTAAAAAAGCTCAAGTGGATACAAATCAGATGTACAATTATGTACAGGGAGGCTATGGCTCAGTGCGTTGGTGTTGGGATCAGGGGAGCACAGGTTCAAACCCCACTGCAGTCAGCATGTCGTTGTGTCCCTGGGCAAGACACTTCACCCCCACAGTATTGAGCAGCAGGCCGGGCGGCAGCAGCAGTTTCAGGCTGGACAGACACATCAGGAAGGAGAGCAGCAGCTTCGGGCCCAACAGCAGTGCCTCCAGGTCGGTAAGCAGTTGCTTTGGGTCTTTTCTTGATCATATCTAAAAATGTACCAAACAAAGCACATTTGAATCAGGATTATTATTTTGAACATGTTTTCCTTCATATATGAACTGTGTCTCACTTGCCTTCTTCCACAGCCTGGCTCGCAGCTACCAGGGGTCAGCATCATCCCCTGGCCACGAGGAGGAGTCCAGCGTGCTCGTCTGAGGTTAGTGAAAACAAATGTAATGATAATTTGATGCCAGTTTTGAATGACCAAAATAAAACAACACATTTAGCAGGAGTGCTGATATTGATGTGACCGTATGATGTGACCATGATTTGCAACTCTTCCTGTGTGCGATCCCCTGGAGCTTGGGGATTCAGGATGCGGAGAACTGGTGTCGCCATCTCCATGCTTCTCACTGTAATGCCTGACAGCATAGACAAAAACAACATACACAACTTGTATACCAAAAAATGTTAGTTTACAAGAGGTTTGATACCCTAACATTGCTTTATACCAGATAGACGGATACTTTAACTATCCCAAATGTGTTCAGGCATTCAAACGGTGGAATAAAGTATTGACACAATTACATTTGAATAAAATAAACCGCAAATAATATAGGCTATAAGTATAAACGTGCAGTATAAAACACATCAACAGTAGAGAAGACATATGTCACAAATAATACCTATTTTTTTACTGTTGATGTGTTTATACTATACGTTTATACTTGTACTTTATATTGTTATGTAAAGTATAGGTATCAACGTGTATGTATTTATACATGAGTAATAGTCTGTTTTTGAATGCAAAATAGAAAGTCGAGGGACATGCATAACGTCAAGTTAATATCATTAAAATGATTAATGTTAAGGCATGAGCTGGTTAACCCGAAATTAGATAGAGAATGACAAAGTATGGCTTAAAATGTAGTGGGTAAAGTCATTGAGCGATGCTAACCTTTAGCTAGCGTCAACGCTAACGGGGGACGCAGTGCCTGTCACTTTGAACAGTAATGACATGATATACTGTACACAAGATAACACGGATAATGACAAAGTGTGCCTTAAACTGTAGCGGGTAACGTTATAGCATATCAAATTAGAGTTTTGATAGATATTTCACTGAAGGACGCTGTCCCCAAACTAGCGGCCGTTAGCAGTAACATGGCCGTGGCCCGTCGGGTCATTGCCAAGGTACTACAGTAATGAAAAACTAAAGAAGACAGAAATGTTGCCAAAGTATGTGTCGTGGAAAGTATACTTTACAGAAAAATAAAGTATAAAACGTACCTGTCAACCCAAGTCTTCGCTACTGCTGTTTCTCTCGATGGAGATTTGCATAGCGGAGAGCCCGCCCACTCCAAACACTCCATTGGACAGTACGACTGTAGACTTCCAATCACATGCGAGTACAGTGACTGTAGACAGTCAAGCCTTCTGATTTGCCAAAAGTCTACAGTCGGAGTCCCGCCTCCAAACTCCATTGGACAGTACGACCGTTGACTTTCAATCGGATGGAAATGACTGTAGACATTTGTCGAATCAGTAGGCGTACCTGTCTACAGTGACTGTGGACATTGCACTCCCGTAGACCCGAGCTCTTAGTAGAGATGGCAAATCCGGATCCTTTTACGGACTCAGGGTCTTCTGAGTCAGTCATTGAAGAGATCCGGATCATACGAGTCCTTTGAGTCATGAGTCAGCATCACCAAGAGTGTAGAAATCCTACCGGTGAAACCGAAAACTTGTTGCATTTCACGAGCATATTAAACTGACGTTACATTAACCTCCGCTACACAGTGTCTTTTGCTTTAATAGAACATGTTGATCACAAATAAAAAGGGTTATTTTGCGATTTGGCGAATCTGAGTCTGCTGTTGACTCGTGCATGACGACGAGTCTGCTGGACCTCTGGATCTGCTGCTATACGGTTACGGCTCTGAGTCCGCACGAGTCTGCTGTGTTTTGCACAGTGAGTCAGGATTTGAGAATCTGAGTCTGTGAAGTTCCGCTGACTAACTCGTAGGCTACTGTCTCTCTCGATCATTGTCCTGGATTCACGGATCCCGCCCGCGATTTTGATTAAGTCCATTATGTTTCCGGCTCTAAATGAAGTTTCAGTGTAGACTTTTAACACAATTGTCATGTTGTGCAACAGTCTACTGCGTGTAATAGCTGCATTTCCAATAAGGATCTTACTTGGCAAAACGTTTATTTTGAACATAGCACACAAAAAGAAACAAACAATGACAAATGATAGAAAATTGCAAAACAGTTAGAATATATAAAATGTCTTAATTATACAATTATTATTAAATTAAAACACAATTGTGCCACATTTGCTTTAGTAAAGGAACATATTAAAATAACTATATACATATAATGCAAAACACTTATTTTTTAAAATGCACACACAACAAAATCAAGCATATCTTCACCCAGTATCTCCACCCATGATAAAATAACTATGAAAAATAAGAAATTAATTAAAATGAATATATATACATATTTGGGTCATGAAAACATTGTGTATGTAGATCTAATCATATGCCCCCCCCCCCCCCCCCCCTATTTTTTCATGGACTGCGTAATCATTGCAATACTGGTGTTTGTATGTGTTAAATGTGTGTAAAGTCGTGTCTTTTGCTTTAATAAAACATGTTGATCACAAAAAAAAAGGGTCATTTTGCGATTTTGAGAATCTCAGTCTGCTGTTGACTCGTGCATGACGACGAGTCTGCTGGATCTCTGGATCTGCTGCTATACGGTTACGGCTCTGAGTCCGCACAAGTCTGCTGTGTTTTGCACAGTGAGTCAGGATTTGCGAATCTCTGAGTCTGCTGTTGACTCGTGCATAATATAGCCGCGGGAGCCGGGTGCTGGAGGAGGGGCTACAACATGTTTACCGGCCGCAGCTATGCTCGTGCACATGACGAGTTTGGATCTCTGGATCTGCTATGCTATTACGGTTAGGATTCATAATTTACGGCTCCTCTGAGTCCCCACGAATCTGCAGGAAGTTTCACTGATCCGCATCCCCTCCCCTGAGCCAAACGATAACTTCTGGAAGCTATCCTACTTGCTAAAGGGTAGGCAGATGGACTGGGGTACGTTGTAATGTTATTTTACATGTTATAAAGAGAGTAGCGAGTGACGCAATTTATAGTTTTAATTTGTACGTCACACCAGGTGTAGGACTCAAAGGACTCGGGTTAATGGAGAGGGGAGACTCGTCACGACCAGCTCATTTCTAGGATCCGTGTTAATGATCCGGATGAATCAGGACTCGCCCATCTCTAGCTCTTAGCGATCTCCGAAGCACCCTCCCCAAGATGAGGCCCCACGCAGTCTGCGTGATCTGCCTGTAGGGAGGGGCGGCCCTGTGCACGTTCCTACTATGCCTGCATCTCCTCGCAGTCCCTGAGCGTGTTCCTCATCCTTGCAAACTCCAGCACGGTTTTCTCGCACCGCAGAGCTGAATGCGTGATGAAGTCTCTGAGCTTCTCGTCATCATCAGCCGTTGGAGTGATTCTGGTGAGAGTGAAAATGAAGTCTAACAGTTCCTTCACTTGCCCCAGCATGTTGAGAGTCCCGTCCCATGACTTACCTGCTTTTTTCAGACAGTGTAGCCGTTTGCTTCAGAAGCTGCTGAAGTTCTTCCATTTGCTTCAGTCCTATCTTTGCCTGGTTCCTCGTTGTGGTCTTTAAGGAGGAGGACTTTTCCTCCAACTCCTCAGACACCGTCTTAATTTCTACCAGGAGACCCTTTTGCACCTCAATGACTTGCATGAATTCTTTCTCCAAATCTTTAACCTTAACCCTACTGCTCATCTCTGTCATGGCCTTGGTAGCATTTGCTGCACCAACAGACCTCCCCCCATAGCCTGTTGCTTTTATCAAGATACAACATCTACCAGAAAACCATTTTTTTTTACATATCTAGACTCCTTTTAATAGAACCCAATTCAACAGCGACCCAAAAGCAAAAACATAAGTGACATCACTGATTGTGTGTGTGTGTGTGTGTGTGTGTGTGTGTAGAGAGCTGTTTTATGAGGGGCCGTACAGGCCGTAATTCATACTGGTCCTCTCACGCACATACATTCTCCTTTTACATACATACATTTTCACTCTCACACATTCATATATTGTCACTCACACATTCATGCATTTTGTTCTCATATTCATATATTGTAATGCTCATATTTATACATGTTGCTCTCATGCACATTCATTCAATGTTTACATTTAATATTATAAATAATATATGCATGTCTGAAGACAATATATGTATGCAAGAGAAGAATGTATGGCCCTTTCTCACTTCTCTTATTTTTCATTTCCTCGCTCCTCGGTCTCACCGGAAGTTGATTTGAGTCCCAATGGCCTTATTTTTGCCGGAGGACCGAGGATCGAGGAGCGAGGAGCTATAATCGAGGAACCACCAGACCATCCTTCGATGAAATCCTCAAACACTCGCCCCGCCCCCTTACTGTGTATCGCTCACTGATTGGACGATGCAGTGCATGCACTGATCTCATGCTTCTTGACATGAGAGCCGTTTCCCAGCGGAGTGAAGAAAATACATGAACCTCACGGGAGTCACTCCTCAGTTTATACCGTGTTTTGTTTCAATTCCTGTTTCATTTAGTTACAAATATGTGATATATCTGAACAACAAAGTGGTCAAAAAATGTTTTATTCATTTATTGGAAACATTTTCATGATCGCTTTTTTCGTTTTACATTTTCATTTATTGTCATTTCCATTCAGTCAGTCATTAAGTGCTATTAAAATGTTAATGTGCTACATATCCACACAAACAAACAGTGTGTAAGTGTGCAATCCAATGAATGTTAATCTAACTGGGTTTTGATAGATAACATATCTCTTTTTCTTCTCTCAATTATTTTATTTATTTTGTGCACTCTAATCAATATTAATCAAACTATTGTTCGTTTATACATTTTAAGAATGGCGTTTATCTTTTTTGAGAATTACTTCTTATTTGATTTGATTTATTTGGGTCTACAACAGATGATACAAATGTCTCCGTCATAATAGTTTGTTTCCGTGAACGGCCGACTGTTGTGTGATGGCAAATGCTGCGGCTGCAAGGCATTGTGGGGCAGCATTTTCTCCTCTCCTTTCAGTAAGGGAGGTCCAGTGGTTCCTAAGCTAAAGGAGGTTAGAAACAGGGCTGCACATAACTTTTTTGCCCTGGTTCTCAAAGGAGCACCTGGAGATGTTGCTTGGTGCTCATCCTTAAAATGAAATAAACCGTAACTTTTGAGGGGGTCTTGACTTTATTTGCCAGACACACGGCACTGAACACACAGAGGTGAACACAGAACACACATGCAGAGGTGAACACAAGACAACATTAGCACGACCAGTAATCCTACAAGCTGTCATCACTCCCTCCTGACTGTTCTCCTCACTGTCTTCCTCTCTGTCAGACATGGTAGCTGATGATGTAGGCCTACTTCTTTCTCTCTGGTTGAGTCTGTGATTAGCTGCTTGCACCCACAAGTCAACAGCTGGGTTTGGGTCGAAAGTCTCTGTTGTCATCTTAGACAAGTGGATGTAATCAAATAAGTATGTGAACATAACCAATAACCTACCATAGCCAATAACAAATGAATGTAACTTATTTGATCTGTGTTGTTCATTAATATCTTATTTTACCTTAACATTTATTTATTTATGCATTTTTTGTATCTCTCCAGTTTTAAAGGATATTTTTGGTTACTGTCCTATAGTATTCATTGGAATGATTTCAAACCTGTTTATCCCAATAATTATAAAGGAGTGCCTTGGAAATATGTGTTTACATAAATTGTGACCAAACCGTTTGAACTTAGACTAAAGTTAACTATCTAAACACTCAAGAGTCCTTTACCTCACTGAGCTGTAGTTATCAGCCTCTCAGTCTGACTGGAGAGGACTCTCCCTCCACATTATTGTAGAAACATCTTCTTCTTATATCCGTTAGAGCAGCTAGCACCAGATGCTAATAACAACAGCGCTGGTACCGGTGCACCCTCCCTCTCTCACTCGCACTTTGGCTGTGAGCTGCGGGTGCCAGATAAGCCAACATCCCCCATTTTCATCACTTACAGCGCCCATCGTACAGGGCAAATGAAACGTGTAACATGTGTGTTACACGTTTTTTTTTTCTTCATTTACTTAATTATGAATATTGTTACATCAAGGCCTACAATTAGGATGAGCCCCAACGGTCAAAATGTTTGTTTCCCTCCCAGAACTGCCAGCGCAGCACCTCTCCAGATCTGGCGCCCTAGGCCAGTGCTTCTCAAAGTGTGGTCCGCGGACCACTGGTGGCCCGTGAGCGCCCCCTAGTGGTCCGTGAGTATATTGGTAACATTTCACATTTGAAATTAATTAATCAATTTAAGTGTTCCGCACTCTCGCGGGAATATCTCCACAATGGAGCAAGGGTAAGTTTCACTTTCGATTGCATGATATAGCCCAGTACAACACCTTCATCACACATGTTGCCACTTGTTTGTACCATTTTCAGGCGATTTGTAATCTGTTCTAGAAAAACGATGTGTTTTTTGATATTTGTGGAGTTA